ATTCTGGTATGGTTACAATAAAACTCTGGGTCTAACACAGTGAAACATGTTTCTAATACTAACACTCAAGAAGCAGACCCAGGTGGATCTCTATGACTTCCAGGCCAGCCTGGTCTACATAGTGAGTTCCAGGCCTGTAAAGGGCTATTTGGTGATACTCTGTCTCAAAAAAAAAAAAAAAAAAAAAATCTCAGCATGGTAAAGACATGGAGAGACTGGAACGGTTCTGTGATGGTGGTAGGAATGTAGACTCGGGTGGATGTAAAGGACAATTGTCTGGTAGTTTGTCAACAAGCTGAACATAAAGTCATCTTGGCAAATACACAAGAGAAAACATATTTCCATACAAACGTGTGCACATGAATATTTACAATAGCATTATTTTCAGCAAACCCAAAATGAAAACAATCCAAATGTCCAAGTCAGGAATGGATACACAGAATGAATGCTAACACAGTGTCAAAGTTTTTGGCACTAAAAAGGAATGGAGTGTGGCTGTGAGGGTTTGCACCACCCCTAGTCCCAGTTACTAAGAGACTGAGGTAGTAGCATCCCTAGGAATCCGGAAGACGTGGTGAGGTCATTATCTCTAGAATAATTTTTAAAAAGACATAAAATCGACAAAAATATTGCTATTTATACATGCTGTAACACTGCATGGATGAGTCTTAAAAATATTTCAAGAAGCCACATAAGAGAGACTATGTATTGGATGATTTTATTTGTTTGTTTGTTTGTATGTTTATTTATTGTTTTCTAAGCCATGTGGTCCTGGCTGTCCTGGAACTCACTCTGTACTCTGTAGACCAGGCTGGACTCGAACTCAGAGATCCACCTGTCTGCCTCCCGAGTGCTGGAACTAAAGGTGTGCACCACCACTGCCCAGCTTATTTATTTATTTATTTATTTATTTATTTATTTATTTATTTATTTATTTCTGCAGGGATTGACCTAGGTATGGGCATAGTGTTTTTGTACACCATGTAAAATTTATCCTTGTGTTATTCAAATGCTGATTTCTCTGCCCTCATACCTTATTTCAATTCAGACAGGGCACTGTAACTCACACCAAGAATCTCCTGCCTCGAGTTTGTATAAACAATTCTTATCAGTATAGTTTTTGCCTTGTCAATAAATGCTGATCACCCAATAGCTGGGCAGAAGAGAGAATAGGGCAGGGCATCCACCAACCAGGGGAAAAGAGAGAGTGAGGGAGGGAGTGAGGGAGGGAGGAGGAGGGAGGGGGAGGGAGGGAGGGAGGGAGGGAGGGAGGGAGAGAGAGAGAGAGAGAGAGAGAGAGAGAGAGAGACAGAGAGAGAGAGAGATAGAGAGATATCAGCCAGGAGGGATGGAGGATTTGGAGCCATGAGGAAGGGGTCTGGAGAGCGATCATGGAAACACATTTGAAGCCCAAAAAGCCAGACTGATAATAATATGCCAGTATCATGGGATGGTGGGAGGAGGTAGCCATATTAGCATAGGAGGTTAAGGTAGATTATTTAACTGTTCAGCAATTGTAGCTTGACATAAATCTTGGTTTCTCTGTGTGGTTACTGGGAACTAGCATAAGGTGAAGAAATACAGCCACTGGATTGAGTCACTGCCCACACTTATATTGAAGATAATTCTTCTACACCTGGGGCCTCGTGCATGCTAAGCTCTGTACTGAGCTGCAGCACCAACCCTTCGATGTTTTCAGGTGGGGTCTTGCTGTGTAGTCCAGTCAATATGTATCTCAGGCTATTCTCAAACGTGCAGTCCCTGTGACTTAGCCTTCTTGGTGCTGGGATTATGGATGGGCACTGTCATACTGACTTGGCCAAGAGTCTGAATACTCATTCAGATGTGCCATCTAGGTCACCGGCTTCCCTCCCCTCCACTTGACTCCATGCATGGAAGTCCATGCTGACAGTTCAATGTCAGAGTACTGCAGTTGTTTTATGAGCTCTTGTGTTTACTCTGGTGCCTTTCTTCCTGCAGTCAAGGTCCTCTTTGGACTGCATTCCCTTAACCCTTTGCCTCTAGTGGCCCTCTTGAGATCTGTGTTTGCATATCTTCCCCTCCCTCTGTTTGGGATGACAGGATACAAGGGCCTGTATTTAGCACTAACTATGGACTAAACAATTTCTGTCTTTTTGTCTTTAGTCACCATGATGTCCCTGGGTGGCTTGACCTTTTCACTTGACAGGAAGAAATTGAGGCACAAATGTAAGGCTGTCTGAACAGGAGTGGACAGGGAGCTGGGCATGCTGTTATAACAGGCCTAGAGAAAAGCTTATGGCCTTGCTTCCTCATGTCCCTGGCTTCCTCACATCAATGGGGACAGGCCTAGAATAAAGTTTGGGTTGGTCACCTGTTTGTATTGCAGTGAGAACAGTGGCTGTCTCCATTCAAATGCCATATAAGTATTTTTCAAAATTTATACATTAAATTTATACATTAGGTTATCTGGTTCTCAAGCAGAGAATTGTGTAATTTTAAGCCTGTTTTGGGTTCTATCTCTGTGTTATAGTGGCAGAATTGGTCCCAGACTAAATTCAGACTATCAACAGCTGCAGTAAATACCTGTCTACCTTCAGCTACCCTCAATGACCTCTTGCCAGCAGCCATCCAGAGAGATAGATCCACTGAGTTCGTGTCAATCAAGAGCATAAGACTTTTATATCGCATAAAAGTTTTGTCTGAGATTCAAATATTACATCCTGTAGGGAAACTCTTTAAGCAGGAAGGTAAACAACTCAAAGTAGCTTCAGGAAGTCCCTGAAACTGACCAGATTCACCAGGCCCTGGCCTTCCAGAGTAAACAATCAATGCTGAGTATCCTCCTCAGAAGAGTAGAGCCAAGCAACAAAGAAGACTTTCAGACAAGCTGAGCTGCAAAGAAGAATCAGACCAGACCAGCTGGCTAGAAGAAGCAGGGACCAGCAGAACTGCCTGAAAGAGGTTTAGACCAACTGAGGCACCTGGAAAGGGCACTCTCTAACCCATTGAGCTGCCTACAGGCTGTGCAGTGTGCTCCAGGTTCCCAGTTTTGTGAGCAGTCACCCATCCTGTGATGGGCTTTAGGGATACAGTTGTCTTTGAGTCCTTTCTGCAACTGTAAGTAACCTCTCACCCATATTCCTGTAAGTAGTCCCAATGAAACTCATTGTTCACCAAGTTGGACTTGGGTTGTATCTCATCTGTCACGGGATCCATCCCTGGGGTAAGTAGACATGTGGGTTGAGTCTTCCCGGGAAAGATTTTGTCCCAACACATTGAGCTTACTGAACCATAGATGAAGTAACTGAGCAAAACTAAGGGTGATTGAAAGAAGTGGGCAGGGGTGGGAAACCAGAGAGTACCAAGGGAATTTACCATTACTGGGCCTGTAGGGAGGAATGGGTCAAGAGGGGACAGGACCCAAGGAGAGGAGAGACATATGTTACTTCAGAGTGGTGGTGGCAATCAAGCCTCGTGGCCTCAGGGAGAAACCAGAATAAACACCTTCTCTGCTTTTCTCTCCTCTAGGCCTCTACCAGCATGCTTGCCTCCCACTGACAGCGCCAGGGTACTGGTGCAGCCATTTCTGGGGCACCATGAACTTATTAAAAAATCAACTGGCATCTTCTCTCCTCAACACAGGTCATCTCTTACCAGATAGTACGTTCTACAATGTCTTTTGATTCCCGTGTTTATTGTCTGCTCCCTGATGTGAGTACCTAGATTGTGAATATACAGGGGGAAAACATACAGAGAGGGGTGTCTCATATAGCTCAAGTCGGCTTGTGCAATGGATGACTTTGAATTTCTGATCTTCTGCTTACACCTAGTGAGTGCTGGGATTATAAGCTTGTACTTCCATGACATGGTGCTGGGGACAGAAAGCAGGGTCACCTGCATGCTAAGCAAGCATTCTACCAACTGAGCTATGTATCCCAGCCTGAATGTGCGTATCTGGAAGGCAAGATCTTAGAACAGTGCCTTGGTTTGGTTAGGGCTACTATGGCTGCGATGAAGCACCATGATCAAAGCAGTGTGGGAGGAAAGGGTTTACTCGGCTTACATTTCCCTATCACACCGTTCATCATCATAAAGAAATTAGGACAGGAACTCAAGCAGGGCAGGAGCTGATGCAGAGGCCATGGAAGGGTGCTGCTTGCTAGCTTGCTCTTCATAGCTTGCACAGCCTACTTTCTTACAGAACCCAGGACCACCAGCCCAGGGATGGCACCACCCACAATGGGCTGGAACATGCGTTACAGCTGTATCTTACGGAGACATTTTCTCAGTTGAGGTTCCCGCGGTTCAGATAACTCTAACATGTGTCAAGTTGATATAAAACTAGCCAGCACAAATTTTAAGAGGGTTTTTGTTTTTGTTTTATCCCTCCCTCCACCCACCCCACCCCCATCCCCAATCTGTCAGTCTTAGGTGCCTAGCTTGGTGACTGGAACATAATCGCAGCTGAATAAATCCTTTGCTGGGAGTCCCCTCCCCTCTTAACAGAAAGATCTGGTGGTTGCCTTCTGAACACTTAAGGGTGCTGGGTCCGGAGCTGCAGCTCTGGGCCTCAGGTCTGTGGCTGTGAGGGACAGCAGGTGCCAGTCAGTCCTCCAGCTCTGCCGCAGTAGTGCTGTTTCCCCGCCCAGCTTCACCCAAGGTGCAGCCCGACCTGCCGCCCCTAGGTAGCCGGCCTGAGGCGGGACAGGCGGGGTGGCCGGCCGTGTCCCTCCCACGGTCCTTGCGTGAGCCGGGGAGGGACACCCGGAGCTCCTAGCAGGTTATTTTTAGCTGGGGGAGGGGACGGAACGACGGGCCCGGGCGCCACTGGCTGAGGTGGCCACGGTGTCCTCCGGCAGTGCGCGCCGCTGTCCTCGGGGACCTGCGCTCGGTGGGGGCGGGGAAGGCGGCTGGAGAGCGCGGCGGGCGGGAAGGGGCGGAGAGCGCGCTCCTGCGGAGGAGGCTGTGCTCATCCCGGCGGCCGAGCGCTCCAGTACTCGCCGGGCTTCGCAGATGGCTTTCCCCGCTCTCGGTCTGGAAGTCCTTCAACCCCTGCAGCCCGAACCACCTCCGGAGCCTGCCTTCGCCGAGGCACAGAAGTGGATCGAGGTAGGTGCCGCCACCGGCGGGCGGCCTTGCAGGGGCGCCCGGAGCTGCTGCCCCGAGAGCAGCGACCTCAGGTCCAGCCTTCCCCCACTTTCGTGGCCAGCTTCCCCAGGTCACCCTTCGCGGCCTTCGGAAGACTGAGATTCCCCTGGCGTTGGGACCCTGGGGTGGTGGGCGTGAACAGGGGGACACTGCGGTCTAGCTGTGCGTCCAGGGGCAAGAGGCGGTCCCCTGCGCCTTCATCCCTGCTGCCTGCGGAGCTCGCAATCTCGGCTCGGTTTGCTGCCACGGGAAACGCAGTGCGAGCCTTAGCGCTGCAAAGGCGCCGGGGGCTTGAGCATCCAGAGCTCTTGCGGGACCCACATTTAGGGGTGTCCCGCTCTCTGCTCCACATTCCCTTGCCCTCTCTCTTCGCCCTTCCAGAGCAGAGTTGGCAGTGTCACCACAGAGGCTCATACCTACTCGAGCCACTTGGCTGTGTTCTGGCACCCGTTCAGGTGCAAGGCTGGCGCAGAGCACAGAGTGGGGGGAACCTGCAAGACCTAGTTGCGAGGCGATATCCGCAGACACGCTGCCCAGCTATTGGTTGTCCCAGAGACCGCAGGGTGGGCTCCAGCAGGCCGCGTACCGGGCTAGGTTGGCACATTTCTCTTCTTAAATGGCTCGGTGGAAGGCCAAGGAAATCACTGGAGCTCTCGGCTCAGTCCAGGAAGCACTCGCTGGACTGATTCATGATGTCTATCTGCAGGTGCAACTCAGTAGCCCTGCCATTCCGAAACAACCCGGTTTTTGGGTTTAGGACGTGTGGAGGGCGAGAGTGGGGGAGGTGATTTGTGATCCACTCCTGAAACTCCCATTTTAATGGACCTTTCTTATGCCGTGTAGAAGGTGAATTTGGCCAAATGGCGCGCAACCCCGTTGGCCTGATAGTTCAGAGGATGTGTGCAGCTAAATCATGACCAAGCAAGAATACGCTCCATAGTACTCAGGTGGTCACTTAGCGACCCCATCCCCACCCTCGGGACAGCCCAGGTCTCCATTGTTGTTAGGGTGATAGAACTATAGGGCTGCAGACCTAAACCTGCTGAGTTGCCTGCAGAGGCCATTGCTGGAAGGTTCTAGCCACAGGCTGCCACCTTTCAGGGTCAACTAGCTTCATGCATGCAAAAAAGCTTCTCAGAGTTTGGAGCTATCTATTTAAAAACGGAACTAAGGAAACAGACTATACGAGGCACCATTACTAAAAGCCAGGGCTGGCTTGTCTCTCATAACTACCAGATGTAACTCACTACCGGATGAGAACAAGACATTAGCCTCTTATTTTTGCTGTGAAGCTGGAAGGCTTGGAGTGTGACAGGTGTCCTCCCTGCGTTTGGGGCTCATAGGCTCACTGGAGACGTTTGTAGCCGCTGCTGGTAGTGGAGAGTTGTATGATTGTTTCTTTCAACTTCTTGAATCTTCTTGTTGGGGGGAAGGGGGGAGGAAATTAGCCTCTCTGTTTTCTCATAGGCACGTGTTTTATTCCCAGTTTCTTTAATTGATAGTAATATTGACACACATGGCCTGCTTTTAAAAGTGCATTGTGGTATAAATTCCACACAGGATAGCCTGCAAATCTGAACAGAGATGTGTGCATCTCTGTGAATTTTGGAATATGTACACATATTATTACATCTCCCTATAGATCAAGATATATAAAGCTGTTTTTTTTTCTTTCTTTCTGGTGGGATTTCAGGCTAAATATTACTTAGTGTAGAACATCAGCTTTCATCTCAGCTTGAGGAAAGGAAGGGGCAGTTTAAGAAAGCTCTAAACACAGGTTTAGAATGATTCTTGATACTTTGCCCTTTAAACCAGTCAAAGGCAGTGAAAACCCAAGTGGTGTGCGTGTGTGGCTTTAGGACCAGGCTGCCAGGCACGCTGCGTGTGCATAATTGAAGTGGCCTATCTCCTTTCCACAGCGGAGTTGGATTTCATAGAAAGGGGAGTTTCCTCTCCTAAGCCCAGGCTGGGTAAAAAGGTATTTGTGTATGTGTGTGTGCCTTGGTAGAGTACTCAACGACCCCCCCCCTTTCTTTTTCCCCTTCAGGTTCTTGAAATGTAAATGCCACGTTTGCAAACTGGGAGCCAGAGGCCATAACAGATGGTTTTGCACACAGTTGCCCAGTGAACAAAGATTCCTGGGCTAATACAGCAATAATGTGTTTCTTAGTGTGAGCCACTTCCCGTGGGGATTCTTATCAGGAGACAATCGCATCTCCCCTTAGGGGCCCATTGTCTCTGGCAACATCCTCATTGGGAGGACTTTGTTTTTCGGTTTTGTTCCACGGATGATTAAATTTCCCACAGGCCTTTTTCATTTTTATTTCTGTGCAGTCAGGAATTTTACCTTTTCAGAAAAAAAACCAAACCATTCCCTTGGGTGCAGCAGGTTAATAAACTTTGATAGTGCCCTCCATCCTTAGATCTGGGCTTCTTTGAGTTGGTCTGTCTAGAGAATTTACATTCGTAATAAGGCTCAGGGAGTTAGCTTCTGGACACAGGTTCTTAGCAAGGAATTTCACAGCCTGCAGCCTTGACTGTTTGAAGACTGGGCAGGAAATATGGCTCAGAAGTCAGGCTCCTACCTCCCCCAATGCCAGCTTCTGCTTTAGCGGCTAAAGCTGGGCTAGGTACACTGGGTAGGGACAGCTGGGTCACACTTCCAGTGTCTTTTCATAGTGGTAGGAGCAGGCTGAGTACCTTACATAGGTTTGGGGAGGGTCTTAAGGGGAGACAGCAAAGGTCAAGGATTAATTCACTATCAGCAGGCAGAGGCAAGGCTAACTTCCTATTGAATTGCATTTCTAGCTCGTTTTCCTGGGGCAGTAAGCTGTACAGTGGGCCAAGAGGCCCAGCTTCCTAGCTGGAAGTCCTTGGGTGGAGACCAGGTCGGTCACTTCTAGCTGAACGACCTTGGGCAAGCTGCTTTTCCTGTCCTTATGTTTCCAGATATTTTCTTTGAAAGATACCTCGAATTAACAACAACAACAACACAACAAAGGGATATTGTTGAAACATCTGTAAAGCAGGACATTAAACAGCATCTCACTTCGGAGGAGTGCCGCAGGATTTAATACCTGAATATATTTAAAAATACTTAGAATAGGCACAGTGGTTAAAGCATCTGCCAGGTGGGTGTGAGGATTGATGTTTAGATCCTTAGAGGCCACCATGAACCGTCATCTATATAGTTCTAGCACTGGGATCCCCATGTAAGCTGGCTTGTTAGACTAGCTCATGGCAGGGAGCTCTAGGCTCAGTTTCGAGACACTACCTCAAAGAACAATATGGGGAGTATTCCAGGAAGACTCCTGATGTCAATGTTAGGGGTCCATATATACAAGCACGTACGTGTACACATGCACTGATACCTGCGTGTGCGCACATGCACACACACACACACACAAACACACACACACAAACAACAAATCCATGCAGCATATACATGTTAAGAAAGTACTTAGAATAGCACCTAGTACTGTTTGAGTGATGGTATCCTAGTTACCATTTATACTACTGTTGCTGTTATTCTTACTATTATCATCATTGCTACCACTGTTGGTGCTATCGCTAATAGCAACCGAATCTGATGTTGTTCAGTTTTGGTTTCACTCTTTTATTATCTTATTTTATTCATTATTTATTTGTGTTTCAGAGCCAAGAGTTGGGCAAGGGGTCTCTCACTGATCTAACATCCCTAGTCTTACATTGATGTCCTGAGGCTGGCTAAGTAGCCCAGGCTGACCTTGAACACTGAGTCCTCCTGGGATTATAGGCATATACCCTAAGTGCCTGGCACTAAGCCTGAGTTTGAAAGAAATTCTTCAGAACCATAAGTTTCTGGTGTGCACACTATAATTCAGTTACCTACTGATTTCACTTCATTATATTTTAATTTAGCTATGCTTGGTTAAATCTCTAGGCAGGAACTGACACTATCTCAGTCTATTAATTCTGGACACTTGGGCTAGACATTAAGTAGCTACTGCATATTACTCTTGTTTGCTTTTAGGGTCAGAGGAGAGTCTGTGACAGCTTACCCATGAGATGACCTCACCGTCTATTAGGACTTAGAGAATTACCCCTTGATACTAGGTTGAACTTCAAACTTTAACATGTAGTTTTGTTACTAAACTCCCAAGAGAAATCTTCAGTATCTGTCCCCTTGTAGACATTCCAATCTATACATTAAACTAGAGACTGGCAAGGTGGTGGCTTATTTTGAAACTCTGTACCCCTTTCTTCTAAGCTAGCATTGATATTTTTTTGTAGGTAGATGATTCTATGCCTGGTTCTTCTCTCCCATTTATCTCTCCACTCACGACAATATTAATCTGTTCAAATCTATTTTTTTCTTTTAAGTGACAGACATTTTCTGGAGGACCAGATGTCCCTTCAGTTGGGTTCCACTTGATTTGGATTGCCAAGCCTTTAAAAGGGAGGGGTGGAAGATTTCAGCCCAACTCAGTGATCTCAATTTGAAAACTTTCTGGATCCCTTTAACTGAGTCCTAGCACGCCCCTGGGCTGGTGATGAGCAGTCTTATTTGTAACCTAAGCCATGTTTCACGTGAGTGGGGACTTCACTTTCCTAGGTCCACAGGGGATTGCTTTTTTCATTCCACTTTTTTTTTCAGATCTGACTCTGAAGATTAAATGCTCTGGTGGGGGTGGGTGGGTCTCTTCGCACCCTGATCCTGAAAGGCGCCATATGGCTTGGCAGTAAGAGAAATTTATGAGTGGCTTTGAGTTAATTTAGCATTTGGTGGCCGGTAACTATGACATTGGTGATATCATACTGTAAGTTGTATAGTCATAGTTATTCAAGTTCTCTGCCTCTGTAAGGACTCTTAATTTTTTTTTAAATTACAATGACGTTTAGGTTTGCAAATGTTTCTCCAGCTTTGCTTATGAGAGCTGAAGAAGAGACAGACAGCCTTTCTTAGCTGACTAGAGAAAGCC